TCTTGTACTCATGACGGCGTGGTTAATTAAACGTGTTGTGCTGATAGAACACGTGGCGTGTATTTGAATATGCCAAGTACAATCTCGTTCATAAACCACCAGATATTTTAACAGTATAAAATAAATCTGAATTGTTATACAAAATAAGATCCATTTCACTAATTGAAATGATTTTCATATGAAAATAAATATCTTGATTAATTTTGTATAGGAGAGATATTAATTAAAATTTATGATATTTAATTAATCATTTGAAATATTTACAGGAACTTTTAGAAATTTTGTAAATGGATTATAAATAATTGAATGAGATTGACAGTCTTCATATGTGATTGAAACTAGTGAGTTTATGGACCAGAGTGTACATCTCCATATGCATGGACTGCTTATGGTGCATGTTGTCGTTTCAATGTTAAGATTAGGGTATCTATGTACCTATGGACTCAATTTAATTTTAATAAATCTAAATTTTAACTAACTATCAATTTGCAAATAAGAAATAATTCTTTGAGATTTCATTTTATAATAATTTCTAAAGTTTAATACTTTGACAATAATTAACTTCTATTGTTTGGTAGTGTCCAAAAATGCCCCAAGTACCACAATTTTTATTACCACCACTCCATAAAATCCTAATATTAAGAAAGCTATAATAATGTAATAACATAGAAAATTTTTGAAGAAACAGGATCAGAATGGAGCCAAAAATCCTCACAAGTTTAACCGTAAAATAAACTACCAGTAAATCTGGAAAGGTCTCTTGGTTCGATTTATCGTGATATCATCACACCATTATTATTTCCAAGCGAACAGACGATTTCTCTTTCACTCTGTCAGCTGTCACCGGGTCTTCTATTAACTCGTCAGGGAACTTTTTCAACCGATACTTTACATCGAACAACCGTGGCTTCCCCTTATTTCGTGACTGCATAGAAAGAACGTAACTCTTGTTACTTCTTCCCTTTACACGCATTTTACTTTCACCCGTGTACAGGGTGAGTCACTGAAGAGGGTTGCTATTCTCATCGATAAAAAGTAATGCTACCTTACCCCACGGACTATTATTTATGGCAGAGTTTTTCTAGAGCCATTTTACCTGCATTTTAACCGCGATTTTTAAGAGATTTTTTACACCATCGCCACGGGGTAGAATTGATGAAAGTATTTTAAAATGTTATACCTTGTTTCATTATTGAATTTGCTAACCCTTATATTTATAAAAGTTTATTAAAAAATGAAATAAATAAATTTAATTTAGTCTAATAATTTTAAAAGAAACAGTTCTTTTTCATTAAGAACATAGAATAATTTTTGTCAAATTATCTAAAATCAAGCTTATAAATTATTTTATCATAACATTTTTAAAATACTATTACACGACGATCTAGTACGGGCAAGTTGGTTTCACAAAATATGCGTTGAAACTTCGTTCACATTCCACGAGGGGGTATCCTCCCCTCGTTCGAGCATTCTTCTTCAAGCAAGAAAGTTTTTTCGCGTCTTAATCGAGCCGCGTTTCTCGTTACTCCAGCCACGAAGAGAATCCTCGAGTATTCCAAGTATTCGTCGTGTCGAAGGGTTGGTATCCATGCACGAAGCTGCCAGTCGGGATGGGAGGCTAAAAAGAGATCCGGCTTCTGAATGACGATTATCCGTCAGTGACTCGACTTGACTGCCGGCGACGAAGGTTACAAATACCCACGGGCACCCTTTCTTCGCGCCGAGGGCATAGTTCTTGTTTCAACCCTCCGCGCAGCCATTCATCGTGGATTAAACGCGAAGCAGACCTAATGAAAGTCGCCGCCTATTCCCCTTTGCGCATCCCTGTGATTAGCGACCGAGGGATGCTGGATTTTCCCTAACGCTAGATTTCGAACAATTCGCATTCGAGGGGTGGCATCGTTACGAGATTATGCGAATTGAAAAAATTATCATTTATTTTGAGTGCAGATCTGAATTTTATAGAGTTTTGTTCAGGGGTGTTTTATCGTCTACGCTTGATTAGTGGTTTATTTAGTCTGCCTGACTATGCGTTGATCTATTCTACTTGCTCAGATACATAAGAAGTACCATTTACTGTGAAGAAACTTGAAGAGAATTCCAAATCTAATTTTCATCGTTTCAATATTTAAACGTCATACTTTCCATGATCTAATTTTATATGAAATAAAATTATAATATTATTTAAGAATCCAAGATCTCTCCTTTTCCAACAAAATTCAATAGCCCTTGGAATATAATTTTCCAAAATAAATTAGTCCTAACTGTATCATCGCAAAGACAGTATTTGTTGCGTGAATAATTAATTTGCCTCGTAACAAGAGCTGCAACTCGTCAGGACGAAATTTTTCATCTAGCAACGAAATTGAACCGGGAATGAAATTTTTGTCGTTTACGGGGGTAACTGCAAAGACCCCGATAGACACTTCCCTTTCTCGCTCGAGGCATCTTAAACGCGCAAAGGAAGTTTCTTCATAAAACGGCAACGCCCTTCTTAATTCCTTGTTTCCTTCGTGCGCACAGTTTCTTCATAGCAATCGTGAAAACGCCTCGGGTTAAAAGGGAGTCGCCGGATATAGGAAATCGTCATCGTGAATCAGGATATGACTATGGAATTTCAAATATCTACTATCTGTCAAATGCTCGGTTTGTATCTTCATTTTATTATTCAATTTGAAAAAATGGATCTATAAATCTATTTCTATTACAGAAAGTCTAACGATCGGACCTCGTGCAATTTCATTTTTAATTCATTCAGAAAATGTAACAAAGTTATGTCAGGATGGAATCTTAAATTTGCTTCAATAATAATTACAGATGATGGTGCGTGTCCTATCGATCCAGAACTAATCGATTCTTGACAATCAGACAAGACCCATGCTATTCTTCACGGTGGTTGACTACGATAGTAGTCGAACTAGGGGGTTCGAATAGAATCGAAACCGCACACGATTAAATTGTTCCTTGTTCGTGTTACCCGATTGTCTAAGGGATGCTCGTTTCATCCCTGTTCCTGTTTCTTCGTCTGAATTTGTAGGGAAATGTTCCTTCTGTTAGCACAGACAACTTGCTTTCACGACCATGGTGTAAAACAATCAATTGGTTCTGACAGAAATTAGTTGGAAAGATGCAAAGGTTTCGATTGGAGAATTTAATTATTGTAAAGGAAACTGATTTAATTTTCTTCTGATAAATTATTTCTATAAACCATTTCAACTTTCATAGAATTTTTAGATTTCGAAATTCGCAATTTGGAAGTTTTTAATTTTGCAATTTGGGAACTTTACAATTCAAAATTTAGAGTTCTGGTATTTTAGAATTTGAAATTCGACGATTTCAGAATTTGCAATTTCTTATAATTTTACAGAAACGTTCTAAAATTCACAATCACACTGATCGTGTAATAATTAACTAACCCCTTGATTGTTCGGATTAAGAGGTAGTGTTCGATGTCACCGGTCGATCGTTTCAGCTGTCGACGAGGCGTACAAGCGAGACGTTCGCAATAATTGATAAAGCAGCGAGGCAACGTCACAGATTCTGACGCATCCTGAACTACAATGAGGGATTAGTCGATTGCAGTAAATTACGATAATGCGCTACCAGTACTGCAACGCATGATTACAGACGTTGTACCGACGAAGGAAGAACGGCTTTAGGGAATGAACAGTTCCCTTGGGATTAATATTAATCGATACACTCGGTTCTACATTCAAGAAGCTTCGTATTGCTGAAGGAGGAGAAGAAAATATTCAAATGTCTCAATTTTTTTAAATTAATACTCTGACAATCAAATCCATTAAAGATTAAGTTATATTTGCTTTCTTTTTTTTCTTTAAGTATACTTGATTTAATATTCTATAATATGGATAAAATACTTATAATTTATTATTTAAACAATTTGGCTATTTCATAATTAGCTGTTAGTGTACTAATTGTAAATATATCCTCAAGTCTAGGATTTAATCTACAACCAAGTCTAACAGCGTTTCATACATAGATAAGTATACTGACATGTATGAATTGTACATTACATACACATGTACACAGGGACATATGTCCTGCCATGTTCGGCAAGATCAAAGAGCGATGTCCCTAAATTCGAAATTCGCGGGATTAATGCACTGATTAGACCAATACGTGGTTACAGACGGACAGGAAATGGGATAAGCGTGTCTGACACGTGGTGATCCTACTACTGTGAATGAATATCATCGTAGACGTGAATATAATACTCGTCATAGATATAATTCTAAAAAATTAATGAAAAATAATCTACCTAAATTATTTCTTATAATATGAATTTTAATAAATTTGATTTTGTCAAAATATGATATATTTTTTATTAATATTCTAAAGATGGTAAAATTTTAATTAAATTGATTTGAGTTCAATTATTTCATTAAAATAGTAATGTAATTTAAAACAAAATTAAAGAATAATTAAAAAAATTAAAAAATATCAAGCAGGTTTTTCGTAATTTAAATTTTTCTTTTCTTTAACTAACGAATACTGGAATTAAGTTTCTACCATGAAACGGGGCTGAAAGCCGTGTTAACATGAGTCCGTAAAGACTAATATTACTCTGCAACTTCTGTTCTAATAAAAGTCAACGTACTTACAAGGGTGTAAGTAAACTATAACACAAACAACAGCCCTCTCTGGGAGGGTATCTGGCGAGCTAGGCGAAAGCTTTTGTAATCAGAAACCCAAAAAGCATCAATTATGAGGAAGCATTAAGGAATCTGGAATCAAAGATATTGACTTGGTTTTAGGACGTCAAATTTTTGTTATCAAATTGGTGTTTTCTTTTAATTACTATAATGAAGAAAATTTTCTTTTTACTAGAGAGCATTTTTACATAAAATTTAAAAATTCAATACCATAATTAAATCTTAAATCTTTCAGAAAAATTTTCAAAATATTTCATTTAATTTTTTTTATCTAAAATATGAAATTTCCTGCTCTCTCTAGTAAAAAGAAAGGCACAAAGTACTTACACATGTGATAGAGAACCAAATTCTTGGTAGATCCTATGTGCTTTTGGAAAGCTCTATTTGTAGGTGCGAAAACTGTCACATGGCGGTACGCGAGGGTGTTGTTTGCCACCTGACTCGCCTCCAGCAATTGATAGAACTGTAACAGAAAGACGAAGAATTGTTAGTATTATAGCATTTCAATATTCTACAGTAGAATCTCCTTTATATCAACAGGAAATTATTTACAAAGTTGTAATTAACAATTTCAATTAACATATACTATAAAATTATCAATGATTAGAGATAATTTTTATTTTTAAATTACACCATTTCCTCTGCAATCTAATATCTTATTTAAAATATTATTTTTAATACAAAAATAAATATTTACAAAATTCCAATTACTGTCTCTTATATAACAATAATGACTTTTCGTTGAAATACACCATAGTGAAAGGGTTAATTGTCACTTCACGTCCTGTGCAAATATTTTCACTCTTTATACGATAACCGAATAAAAGGACATTTCAACGTACTCTGAACTTAAAGTGCCAGGATAATCCAACGAATTATGTTTCTCAATTGAAGAAAAGGACACACGACGTGTCCTGTCGCTTTTCAATGTTTTCCTATTTCGTACAGCAAAGAAACGACTCGTAATATCCTCTGCTTCGGGTTAATTGCGCATTGATAACTAACGAGCTTCCTTTGTGCGAACTGTCAGCGAGACGAAAGACCCCGGCAAATTTCATTCGACGCGCCGGATTAAACGCTTTTGCCCGCATGGAACGCGCACAGCTAACTCCCTATGCACAATCGTGCGTTTAATCCGTACCGACTTCGCTTACTTGTTTCGCGTATTAGTTCTCGCACGAGGATGCGTTTTCCTCTGACGGAAAATCGATGCTCGTTGTGCTTTTAACGCCGTGAAAAACTATCTCGTGACAGACCATCGAAATGATGTCTCGCGTTTGAGTAACATTTATCGTGTCAGATTGTTGTATATTAAAGATTTGACGACATAAAAATATAACAGAGTGATCTCTGTTCGTCATTACACATTTGAATATTTGATTTCTGTTTAAAATAATTAATTAGTTGATTATTTGATTTCTGTTCAAAATAGATAGATTTTAAAATTTATTTCATTCGAATTTTCTTTTGTCCTCTTTCGATCAAATTACCTTCACAAGTTCCATTCAAACAATACCGTATCCATTGAAACTGAAATTGAATTGGATGTATTGAACGAGCAGGTATAAATCACAAAATGCAGGTGAAATTTAATAAAATTGAAAGCGCAATCGTTGTTAATTTGTCGAACAACATGAAAATTTGAACGAATGTTGACGAGTTAACAAGCTCTTTCATCGCGTCACGGTAGTTGAATCTCTCGGGCAAGTAATTATTTTTCCCGTCCAATAAGTAACGTTCAATTGAATTTGTAGTTAAATCGATTGATGGGCAGCCAAGGCCGGACCGTCTATTAGCCAGTTTAATTAGCATGTCCCAGGGGTCCGGAAATAGGGCAGCCGTAACGACGTTCAACATCGTCATCGTACTTTTAGGTGCCCAAATGCACTTGTACATTTCCTTCAATCACTTAGGTAACGAAAGGCTAACAAATTTTTAACCCTCGGATGACGGACCATGGAGAGAATCCCACTTTTAATACAATAGATTTTTTTGTTCAATTATTAATGGGATTTTAAATTGGGATAACTGGGTTAACATTAAAAATAAGCTATTTTTGGCCATTTTGAAAATCAAATTTTTAATACCTGAAAATTAATAGTATAAAATTTCACAATAATAATTTTACTATTTTATTTTTTTGACACTGATAGCTTTAATTATTATTTTACTTGTCTGTCAAAGTATGAAATAAAAAAGAAATAGTGTGAATTTTAATTTAAATAATGTATTTCAAATGTAATATAATCATCATTGTTATGAAACCATACAAAAGTATTACTTCATGTAAGCATCAAAGACTTGGAAACTTTGAAGGTGTAGCGTTGTTAAGACTTTCGAGGGCTGAATTCATGAATATAATTAAAGGGAACGGCTTTTTAAAGTTAATTACTTAGTCAAGACTTAGAAAGTTCTTTGTTTTAACAATTCATGTCATTTCTATTAACCACATTTAAAATTAATCGTCACAGAGAAACATTACTGCCCACGAATAACAATATTCTGAAATTTATTATATAACTTGAAGGCGAACCAATCGCTATGGAATATGACGCCATATAGATCGACCGCATCCTAGTTCAGTTTCCACTAATTAATCAGAAATTTCCTGGTAATTCCGTGGACCAGGATTGCACAACTAATAAACCTCAGTCTGAATTCAAATTCTCAATTATCTCGTAGTGTACTAATTAACATGGATTTCTGTATATAAAGTCACTTGGTCACCAATAAATTTTTACAAACAAAGTTCACTCATTCAGAACAATAATTGTACATAATAACAATTTCAAAACATAAATGATTTTTAATTAGAATTTGGAATTTAAAAAATATTAATTTTGTAAAATTTTGCAATTATTTTGAAGTTAAGTAATTACAATAAAGGAACAACCTCTGCAACTATTTGAGAAGAGTTTTAATTTAAATTTAAATTCTACTTCAAAGTTCAAAAGGTATTACTTTGCAACATTAAACGATGAAGTATCATTTTTGAAACATACTCAACTTAGAAAGTGTCTTCTTTCTTGTCTCGCAACAAGGATCAGTTCGATTGTGCCCTAGGGTTACGATGTTGAAGATCTAATTTATGAAAAATAACGACGAAACACGGTTGCATTCTCTTTTATCTTACCGTCCCTTCATTTTTACAAGCCACTTATCCTTTAACGAAGCCCTTAAGTAATGGAGACATGTCGTGACTTCGGGCAATTAATGCGACTTCATTCATTAGGGCGAGAAAGGGTTGAAAAGAGAAAGGGGTGAGCCAAAAATTGAGCCAGAAATGTGTGAGTTTAAGGAAAAAGGACTCGAGTCGTCCTGCTGGAAAACGAATACGTACGGTCAACGCCCGATCATTTACGCTAGCAACTACAGGATCCAACAAATCCCATCAAGCGAGATAAATTACCTCAAAATCTCTTCCCGATCCGCTTGAAGCTTCGGTAAACTCGCTGGGAACCGGGCAAAGCTTAGGACCCGAAATTGTGCCGCGAGGTTGTTTGCGGAATCGAGGTAATCCGAACTCGAAGGAGGAGAGACGCAGGACCAACAAGGACTAACTGGAAATTCGACCGAACAGGACAACGACCAACTTGGAATTTTTTCCTCCATCCTTATTTACAAACCTTTCGAAATCTTTAATTAAGTCTAGAAACCCTTTAAACTTGTTTCATTATTTTTTTGTAAAATACGTCTCTAATTTAAATATACAAAAACAATAATACAAAATCATTATTTTTTATTATAAATAATAAATATCATTACCAATATAATAAATTATATAAATCATATAATTTTTCATTGTTTTCAAATTTCATTTAAAAATAATACTCAATATTATTTATTAGAGCAATAATAAAAATGACAATAATGGTAATTCACCCCAATCCATATGGATGTGCCACGTTCTTTTCTACACCCTGCCAAGATATATCAATGTCCCAGTGAATAAGTGCATCAAGATATCGAGATGTTGTTCACGTATTCAATATAAGTGCTTTCACCGGGTCCCAGCAGGCCCGTCTGAACGTCCTACACCCATTCCTACCACCCTTTGGGCAACGTTTCCAACAAACGTGCCGCAGACCAATTTACAATGGAGCCGGCTCAACGGCGCGTGCAATAACGCGGCGAATAATGCATCCCTGCATCGGATGGTGCATCGTGCGTCGCGTTGCAACGACATAGTCGACGTCGAACCGCAAACGGCTCGCGGTTCACGACGAATTCAACGATGCCGTTCGTTTAATATCGCGAAATCTAAAGTTCGTTGAAATACGGGGATGAGGAAAAAGAATTTTAAGCATCCCTCGCCGGGAGGGATGTTTGGTATGAAAGCTGTCTTCAATTACAGGAAGATAAGAGTGTTTAAATAGCTCCTTGTTGGAACATGAAACGAGTGAAATTGTAGTGAATCTTGACTTAAGTTGAATAAAGTTAATTATTGCGAAACGGTCCGACAGGTTTCAATCAAAGTAATTTTAGTTTAATGCTGTTAAACCATCCACGCGTGATATAGCGTTTGATAATATAATATGGAAATTAGTTAGGCGCGTGTTCCAGCTCCTTAAACCTTTGCCTGCCGGGCAATATTTCCAACAAACGCACACTTGAATGATTTACAATAGAATCAACAGGCCATACGATAACATGGCAAATAATAAATTTAGGTTGGGTTTTCGATATCAGAGGACAAACGATTTTTATTATCTTCTGAAGAAAGTAAGTTTAAACCATTTTTGAACTAAAATTAAAAAGAATTTATTTATTTTTAATTTGATATAAATCAAAATTGAATAATTCATAATATTGTATTTTTAAATAATTTCTCGGGGTCTTCAATGCAACTGAGTCAAACTATAATTTTAAAATAACAGGGAACAGAAATAATTTCCATTAGACAAAAATTTCAGGACATTTGCATGTCTCATTAAACTAATTACCCCTATCAGACACCCATCAAAAGTCACATTTAATAATCACACAAACAAGTTTAATCGTCTCCACATCGATAATAATTACGCTAAATTATCGCGTGTTTCTTATCTATCATTAGACAGTGTACGTCACGAACATTCACACGAGAGGGAGAGGAACGTGAAAAACACGACAATGAAAGAAAGTCGAGGTGATATACCAAAAGAAAATGAAGAGGAAGAGTTGGTAAAGGGTTGACCTGTGACTTTTTTCTGAACCTTTTACAACGAACCTTTATTTTCACAAGGCCGGAAATGAGACGTGTCCTCCACCCTCAGAGATCCCTATTTATTTTTTCATCGTCAGAGTTAATGCAGGAACGTGGCAAAGGAACTTACTGGATCCATCATAATGAAATACTGGCCATTTTCTTCCTTTGCACAGCTTAAATTGTGAAATGAAATAATGGAACAGTAATTGTTGGATTTTTTTAGCAAACTTATAATTCATTGATTTGTAAAATTGTTTGTGTTATTTTGGTAAATT